ATTACATTCTAATATAGAAAATGCAATTCCTGCTCCATAACCTTCAATTTTCCATTTTTTTAAATTGATTCAAATTTAAGTGTAAACCAATATAATGTTCAATATCTTGATAAATCTTTTTATTAGATTCCACATGATAATATTCCAATTTCTTAAGATAAATCAGCTACTTCTTTATCTGCAAATAATAGTACATGACCTGAACCTAATAAATTTTTATATAACTACTCCTGATTCTGGGGTGTATTCAGGTGTAGAATGATGTATAATTTATTAAGTATAATTAAAATTCTATTCGTTGCTTTTGACCATATTCTATTTCTGCTATTAGATAAGCATCAATGTCTCTCAATTATTGTATTTTATATTCTAATCCCAAAGCATTTTCTATTTTTTAAAGATTTTTTAAATATCTTTATGACATCACTTTCTCTCTTTAAATGGTACTATTGGAAATTATTAATCATTATCTATTACGACTTCATTGTATCTTTACTTTAAATCAAAAACCCACTCATTAAATTTATAGTCTTCAACCTTTTCAAAAGTTAATTTGACTATTATGTCTGAATCCTGAAGTATTTTCCTTCATAAACTTCATGTATTTAAATAAGATCTTTGTGATTTATCTTTCTCATTATAGTCATTACTTTAACTAAAGCAATTCGGTCCGTTTCTGAATTTTTAGTTTTGAATACTTTTTATTGCACAAAATTTCTTTGTTAATTTATTTATAGTCTAAGACACTTTTGCAAATTTACTTTTCCCAATAAACCTCTATTATAGTGTAATCTTCTTTAAATTAAGCAAGAGTAGCACACTTTTCTTAATTTTTCCCAAAGTTATTCATTGACTACTTTTGATTTATTATAGAGCTCTCTGTATTAATTAAACGAAACAAATTTTATTATAAATTTCTTTCTCTTATTTATTTTCTTACTCTAACATTTCAATTTTAAACAAATTTACATTTATGATGTGATATGATTTTGTGTTAGGTTATTTAATTAATACCTTTTTTTAAAATATTAAAATAACTCTGACTTTCATGATTCAAGAGGGTTATAATAATTTTAAAAAGGAATAATCACATACTCCTTTATTACTATAATATGATGATTAGCCATAACAACCATTATTCATTTAAAAATCCTTCCTATATCGCTAAAATAACCTAAAATTAAATAAAATTAATTAAATGCAGTACCAAAACAAGCACATCCAATTCCTGCGTAGAATTTACCTTTATTAGTTTCTTTGGCTCCAATCAAATTTACAACAGGATAAATTTAATTAAGCTGTAATTGAAATAATATATCTTAAATCGAAAGATTTTAACATCAACATCTTATATTTTTACTAATTTAGCTACTCTTCCTTTTGGTAATAAAAAATCATAAACTTTCCATAAAGGTTCTTCCTAATTTAATAAACTTTTTAAGTCTTATATTTTAATGAATATCCTTTAGGACTATGTGGAAGTTTTTTTAATTATTTAGTTCTATTTGATTATTATAAATCTCAATCACTTTATGGTGTTGTTGATATACCCTCTATTATTGAGTTGAATTATAATCTTCATCAAATTCTTAATCCCTTCAAATATTTGATAATTAAAGTTTTTCTAACCTCAAGATCACATATAAAAGCTATTTATTAATTTAAATTTCTAATCCTCATATCCCGATAGTCTCTTAAATTTTACCAGAACTATCTTTAACTTTTAATATGTAGCTTTTAGTATAGTTAAGCATCTACATCTTATTAAAATGGTATAAATTGGAATTTAGATTTATTTCCTATGATTTTTATTTAATCCTCTAAATTATTGTAATGGTAATCTATATCTTATAGCACCTAATCTGTTACAGTTTATTGCTTTAACAATTTATTCATTTGATTTGTATTCCTTATTACTGTTCTTATACATGAACGAACTTTAAATGTGTTTCTGCCATTCTAAGATCGATCCAACTTTAAATTCATCAACTTTTTTCTTCTTGAAAATCTTATTTAAGATTAGCTAATCAAATTTTTAATTCTTCTATTTAGGTTTTATTCTTATTCTTAAATCAAACTTATTATCCATATCTTTAAACTTATCATCAACAACATCTTAAATTTATTCTTTATCAGCTTTTTAATTTCAATATTGTAGGAATCATAATTATTATTTATCATACTATTATATTTTATTAAATTCAGCTCTTATATATTCAACATTGAGTTTAACGCACAATAAGTTCAGTTTCATCTTTCTAATAACTGCTTAATAATTTGAAGTTATGATGCAAATTAAAATATCTTACAGATATTAAGATTGAGTTTTCTTTTTCTTAAACGCACATTTTTAAGTTGTTTAGAGAACATTAAACAAAGTTATATCTTTAAGGAGATTTCTAAGAAGATTGAATGTATTCTATTCTTAAAAGTTTATGCATAATCTTCATCCAATAAGCGTATTGTTATTTTCTGTTTATTTTTGAGATTAGGAACTGATCAATTGATGATTCAAAAATTCATTTTGTTTTCATAAATTAATTCTTGATTTCTCTAATTCTAACAATTTGCAATAAAATGCTCCATTTTCCTTCTATTACTGGAGGCTACACCATCTTTTAAAAGCTCTTAAGTAATTAAGTTATGGTTTAGAATAAGGATGATGATGCTCAATATTATTAAAAGGATTTTAGAAATTCCTCTTTATTTTTGGTTTCATCATGTATTCACAACTCTTGGAACTAATTCTTCTTTAATTGTCTTTATTTTGATATCTAATCTTCTCTTTTTAACTAATCATTCATACTTATTTAGCGTTATATGTATCTAAGAGTTATCAAAGATTAATTATATTATTTTAATAATATATTTATTAAAAAATAATTTTTTAATTTAGAGTACAACATAAAGTTCATAAAGTATAAATCCTGAGATGCACTTGTATGTTTTAATCAAATGGATAATAATTTAGTGGTGGTGGATCATATAAGGGCGAGAAAAAAACTGGGAGTGGATAGAATTAGATGATGGGTTTTAGGTAAATAAGTAAGTCATTTATACATGTGAGTATAATGCAAAGAGAATGAAAAAAGGTAAATGGATAATTGTATTTTGGGGAAATAATATGTATGTTTCATATAAATATAGGGTGATAATATTTAAGTAGTGACGGATCATATGATTATGAGAAGGGCTAGAAAAAGATTTGAACATGGATAGAATTAGATAAAGGGTTCGATTATAAATAAGACACTTCTAAGGGTCAATACAATTTGAAGGGTAAGAAGGCAGGTAGATGGGGTATTATATAGAAAGAAATATAAATGTAAATAATGTATAAGTATAGGATTGTAATAATATTTTAGTGCTGGTTGATCTTAAGGTTAATAGTAGGATAAAAAAAAGATTGGGAAATGGATAGAATTAGATTAAGGGTTTTATGATGGTAAATAATTCGCTTATAATGGTGAATATAATATGAAAGGTATCAAGGTAGATAGATGGGATATATTGTGGAATTACAATAAATAGAATTAATAGATGTAATTGTTGTTGAAGTTTAGGGTGTTAATACATTAGTGGTGGTGGATAATATGAGGGTTAGAAAAAATTGGGAGATGGATACAATTTAGGATTAAACAATAATAAAGATGTTATTGTCTCAGCAGTAGTTCTACTAAACTAAAAATCAATAATTTTATAAATATTTGTATTTGATTCATTACAAATCTAATTGATAGCCTTTATTGACTGGAGTGTGCTTAATGTATCAAAAGATGGTTAATTATTCAATAGAAAGAGAGCTAAAATGATGAATTGATAACAATATAGAGTATTAAGTTTGAAAAAAGAAGTCATAGATAATTAAGAGCATGATACAGATTTGGCCAAGTTTTAGATAATCTATTACTTTATTATGAGTTATTTCAATTATTCTAATTATTTATCTTTTTGCTAATGTTATGAACTGAATAATTGTTATGGTTATTTCCAAATTACTAAAAAAGAAAATAGTAAAGTAAAGTTATATTGGAATTTTGATTAATATATCCCGAAACCTTCTTAAAATGCTCATAGGAGTTCTAGATAGATAAGCTTATCTTATTTGCTGTGCCTCAATTATAAGAACTTTAAATTATTTAATAGAATACCCATCAACTACTTGAACACCAAACATATGACTATTTCAACTACAGAAATATGTACTTATCATGTTATAATAATTTAAAAGTTATTAAATATTAATATATAAAGTATTACTGTATTTTTTATAAATTTTTATATAAATAATTCGAAGTGAATTATTTTAAATATTTTTCTCTCTATCCTTAATATCTCACAAGATTGAATTCATAAAAAATACATTATATAAATTATTCCTCAATAGTTTTTATCATAAATAAGAATTCTGAGAATCATCATTGTAATGTTGATCAATAAGGTAAGAAACATTAGATATTCAACTAAACACTAGGCATTGCTAATAAATGATATTGTTGAATAATTTTAATGATACGGTTCGAATTGAATAACTTAAACATTTGATCTATCTCTATAAATTATTAAAGAGTTATACTTGAATAATTTGTGAAAAAAAATCATTAAAAAAATTAAAAATTGCTTCAAAATTTTACAACGCAAAAAAAGAATTAAAGCTACGTACTTCTTTTGAGCCAATACCATATTCCTATCTCAAGAATCATATCCTCCTCCAGTCTAATGATAAAATTTTTACACTCTTTCTCACTAATAAAGTTATCTACTAATTCTTGAAATAGAAAATGTTTAATTGAGGAAAAATCAATGTTGAAAGAACCATTATAATATATAAGATTAAGCTAAGAATGTTAAAACAATTTACCAAAAACAAAAAAATGAGTGAAGAAAATTATTGAACAAAATTATAATCACTAAAACAAACAATTAGAAATATGCAAATAAATAAGGGCTTGATATTGAAAGAAATTCAACTTATATGTCACCATCTCAACAAAAGTTATAATTATTTGACTTAAATGAATTGGCAATATTTGTATTAGGAATTTTTAGTATGGAATCAGAACAATAAGTAAGAATTAAAAAAATAATTGGATAATGGAAAGATTTTTGAATAGCTTTCTTTATGTATAAGAATTGAATAATTATTCAAGACAGATTCTTAAAGCCAAATATCGATAGATTAAAAATGTTTTTTAAATTAATGAAAATAATAGTATATCTTAATTTTACTAACCTTAACAGCATATTTATCAATTTTTAGAGGTCTATCTTCAATGAATTGATTTCTAAATGTTTAAGTGATTTTCTATGATTTCCACTAATAATTGGATTGTTATTATAGATTCAACCAAAGCATGTATTATGAAATCCTATGTTATTAGATTTGATTATATTAATATGTTGCATATGTTGTTGTTGTTCTATAAATATATATTACTATATAAATAATATATATATTTTAATTAGAGGTAACAATAGATAGACTACTCTTAAAGTCTAAGGGAGTAAAAATGATTGATGGAGCCTCCTCTACAAAAGTTATTAATTTCAAAATAAATTAAAAACTTATGCATTTAAATATTTTTGAAGTTCCTCTTTTTCTTTATTTCTTTCTATCATATTCGATAATTTATCTGATTAAAGTGTTGCTTATTTAAGTTTATGTTATTCTTCAACTTAAAAAATCAATTATTTTTTCTAATTAAATTAATTATCATTCTTTGATATTATTAGACTGAAAGTACTACATTTTGAGAGTGTATCCATCTTCAGTTTTCATTTTAACATGTTTGAATAATTCAGGGTTATTGTCTCTTTTTATAATTATTTCTAATCTTGCAAATCTTCCTCTTCTATTATAAATCCCCTTCCACTCTTACTTTAGGTTTCGATTTTGGAAATTCATCAGTCATTTTTAATTAAAATAATATATTAATTTTCGCTCATCTATAATAATTATAATATTATAATTCAAAGCAGAATTTATTTTCAAAATAGTTCTTAATTTTCTTTTCCTATCTTTCTTTAACTAATCTTTTCATGAGAACAGATATTTTAATAGCTTCTTTAATAATTAAGCCATCCACATAACTTTGACCGCCACTCATATTCAATTGAGATTTAAAATATCTATAAAAAGATCCACTTTTATTTTATTATTCTCTGTTTTTTTTTATATCAGTATTATACCTAAATTAACATTAATGTCAGTTTATTAAACAAAATTTTAGATATCTTATCAGAATTGAAGTAGTTATTTTAATAGTATCACATACATACATATCAATTACCTTTAGAATATGTAACTCATGGAGAATTTACAATTACTTAAAAGATTATACAGTTGATAATAGTGCATTTAATTGTTAATAAATACTTTTGATGATGATCTAATGATTGCACCAATATTTCTTAAAAACAAATTATGTATATAATAAATATAAAAAAGTTTGCATTTTAAAAAGGACTGAAAGCTCCTAAAAGTCGTGATATTGATGTTGAGAAAGCATGACATCAATAAATTTAGTAGATTTTTTATAAATAATTGCGAATGAACTTGTGCAAGTTCTCAGTTGTATTTTATAGTCAATAAAAATGAGAGAAATTTATGAAGAATGTATGGCATGAGCAAAAATTGCATGTGTTAAGATAACAAGTTAAGATTTAACATCACAAAGTGCTTGTAAAGTAGATTTATATGGTCAGTCTTTGTTATTCAAGGAGCCAATGCTCTATTTGAATATAATTCAAATTTGAAATTTCAATATTATATAAGTTCATGTATAATAGAAAATAGGGTTTGCAGATATATAAAAAGATCAAATCAAGGAATTGAATTTGTTCTTGATGATTTTTGTTATTTAACATCAAACTGGTTATATTTTGATGATTTGATGTAACATACTAGGATTAAGCTTGTTTTACAGCTACTTTAAAGTTATGCACAACTTATACAGCCTAAAGTAGTGGTCAGATAAATAATTAAAATTAGCATTGTAAATGGACTGGAGATGATTGTTATGATAAATCATTGCACTCTCACTCCTAGTGGATAAGGATGTGTATTAAAACCAAGAAGTTTTTATATACAAATACTTAATGTAAAGAAACATTAAAGAAATCACTTGGAAAATCACTTGCTTATTTTGGAACTTGTTGAAATAAAACTTGCGCCAATGCCCCTATTCCTATTAGTTATGATTCTCATTAAAAATGCTGCACATTTTTATCTTCTTCTACCTAATTTCAAGTGCCAATTGAGCTTGTAATGGCATAATTAATATATAACATTTAGATCATGTGAATTAGCATCAAATTGATAAAAATGTGCTTGCCAATTAATTATTGTTACAATAGAAAATGCCCATATACTCGTGATACAATAAAATTTGATTCTAAGTTCATTTTAAGATCTACAGAATAGTAATGCACAAGTGATAATACATATAATTTATGTACTTGCGATAAAACTCTCTAGGTACTCCTCTTTGAAAAACCAAATCATGTTCATTGATGATTGGAAAATTAGTTCGAACAAGCTTTGATTAAAAATAATTCTAAATTAGCTTTGGTAATCCTTTTGTAATATCTAAAATTATCAAGTTAAGGTGGCATAAATTATGCTTCTTAATGATATTATGATTTACTCTATGATTGGTATATCAGGATTATTATTACTAACAGGAAATGCGATAATGTTTTTTAATTTATTAGATCTATTATAATCATTGTCTTATAGTATTCTTTTCCAACTCATTTAATTTAATTTTTTATCACTTATACTAAAGTATCGCTATAAGCAATATTAGAGCGTTTTTATATAGAAGAATTGTTTATATCTTTAAATGGAGGAAGTTTACAATTCAAAAGTACTAGATAATCAACTTAAATTTAAGCAAATAAATTTTATCTATTAAATGCTGAAGGTTGGAACTTTTATATTTTATGTTCATTAACAACTTATTTTATTTCCATATTATTATCCTCTAACAAAGTTTTATTCTTTTAAGTAATTCTATTTGAAAAATTCAAAATTCATTATACATCGCTTTGCTATCATACATTATACTCTACAAAAATCTAAAAGTGTTGTATGAAATTCTGAAATGAATACTTCTCTTTGATTATTATAAATTGTTGTCTTCATCTAATTGATGCCCCAACAAGTAAAATTTAGAACACCAAAAATTTTGCTTATTATATTAATTTTTATTAATGTTAAACTGAAAAGACTTGTAATTAATCATATTGTTTTCAATTTAGGTTTTTAATTAAACTAATTTTAATAATTGGTTGCCATTATATTATGTTCTGTTTATTTAGTGAATATTGTTTGTGAGTCTAAAAGAACTTGTACTAGCAATAATGTATTAATAATACATATACGAATTGTTCAAATGTTAAAATATTCAACAATTCTACAAGCTTATTCAGGGAATACTTAAATGATGAATTGAATGCTTATAAGAGTGATAGAATCTTTACCAATAATGGTAGCAAAGTTACAATTTTAAATTATACTAGTTGTACTAATCAGTTATCATATTGTACTATTACAAATTCAGCTTGTACATCTAGAACAAGTACCAATTATGGATAAAATATTTTATTTTTTGACTCATGATATTTGTATTACTTGTTAATCACCAACTACTATCCCTTGCCAAAAAATAAGTTGTTAACTAAAATATGCAAAAATTATGATCACTAAATTCCAATTTTTCAGAACTTTAAGCTAATGTAGATGCAAGTGCTTATTAACCAATGCTTGACCTAATTGAGCTAAAAATATTCCTAATTGTAATAATTATTATAAATTGTGAATTTGTAAGAGGACCTTATTGTACAAATAAAACATGCATATCAACATCAGGTATGACAAATTTTAATCATAAAACTTGCTCTCAATTTATAAAAGAGTACAAACAATTTAGGTTCATCTAATTGTTAATTGAGAACATGTTGAAAATCAAAAAGGATTTTTTTTATTCCTCTCATTAATCAAGTGAGAATTAGTTGTTTTAATGCACAGTAAATAGTGCAAATATACAGAAGTAAGAACTTGTACTAATTCTGAAGGTTATGTATATCATTTACACAAATAGAATGGAATACATCATTCTTTTAGTGGAACAAGTTCTGTGTGAAGAAAGCAGAATATAGGCAAGTGCTCCAACAAGGTATTAATATGAATATTCTAAAAGTGGGCATATTCTTGGATTTGCACAAAAAATAATGAACAAACTTGTACTACTAAATATGCTCTAAAACAAATTTAGCATTTCCATTTTTAATCATTCTAATTTTGCAGAATAGGTAAGCAATTGTTTAAGTTAGTGTAATAAACAATATTAATTATGGGAAAGATAAAATTTGATGGAGGACCAACATGCAGAAATTCTATAATACCCTTTGTGAATCTTTTGTTGGATCTTGCGAATTGATCGAAATATATATGCAAATTCTGGAAGTACAAATGCATAATTAGTACTTGTTAATTAGCATCTCATAATAGCATTAAAGTGTTCAATCATAAAAATTGTACTTATTTGTTTTTACAGCAAGTTCAGATGAAAACGATTTTTAATATATAACATGTTGTAAATTATGGAGATTATAAAACTAAATTTAATGCAAGTAATTGTTCTCGATGGCTTTATAGTTGTAATGGGAATTTTACTAATGATGGATATATAAGGGAAGCTACATGAAATAATTATGGATCTTAATAAATAGAATTTACTCATGAAACTTGTCTTAATTGGTTGAGCGTATTTATATACACGCTGAAAGTATTTACTTGTACTAATTTTAA